TCCTGACGGAGAACATTCTCCATGCAAAGGACGCGCGACTAGCCAGTGGTGTGTGTTTGCTGGACATGTCGAAGGCTTTCGACAAAGTCAAGCATGACATTCTTGTACGCGATCTTTTCGAAGTTGGCCTTCACGGCACTGCACTCCAATGGTTTGCAGACTACCTCGAAGGACGCACCCAACAAGTGCAAATCGCTGGATCCATTGGTGTCAGTGGCACATGCTCATGTGGCATCCCGCAGGGTTCCGTTCTCGGACCCGTGCTTTTCAACATCTACACCAGGCATGTGCCCACCATTGCCAGTCCGTCCATCTCAGTGCAGTTTGCTGACGATATTGCTCTCACGTTCAGCCACCCTGATTGCCAGGAAGTATCGCGAGTTCTAACAACGTCTACAACCGAGATTGCTAAGCACCTCCAGGAACGGAATCTAATCCTGAACACTAGCAAAAGCCATGTCCTGCGAATTTCCGGCCAAGACATTACTGTCAAATGCCGTGGAAACCCGCTACCAGCAATTCCCCATGCGAAGTACCTGGCATCACGATAGATGAGCACGTTCGATTTGACGAACACGTTAACAATGCTGTGAAGAAGGCCTCGCAGAAGGTGGGAGCACTCTGGAGAGCCCGCCGTTGCCTTACAAGAAAGTCCAGAGAGCAGTACGTGAAATCCGTTGTGATGCCAGATTTGCTCTACGGGTCCGTGGCGTTCTCTGGGTGCCTTCGACAAGACCAGCGGTCCCGCCTTCAGGTCCAGCAAAACCGTGCGGCACGCGCCGTATTCGGCCTGCCACCTCGCACAAGCGCCCAACCTCTGCTTGCTCGTCTGCAGCTGTATGGCATCGAAGAGCTCCACAAGCAAAAGACCCTTATTATGATCTGGCGTTGCTCGAATGGTCGGGCAAGCAATGCACTGCAAGCCCTTCTGGAGCATCCCAGTACTCGAACAACGCGCGCGCAACGCAGCTTGGGCCTTCGAGTGCCCAAATCTGCCTCCAAAGCCGGCCACGACCGTCCAACCGCTCGCGGGTCCATTTTATGGAACACCCTGCCATCCGACGTGCGTGGTATTACCCAGCACCACCAGTTCAAACAAGCCTGCCTCCCGTTCTGTCTTGCTAGAAGTAGCACCCACTACTGAACACTACAGGAATTTTTGAACGTTTGCGGTACTCCACAGTACCAGTCATGTGCTGTTTACCGCCTCCCCGTTGTTGTATTCTAACGTTAACGTTATTCATTGACTGAGCGTTCTTTGCTTTGTACTACACCCTGCTATCATGTTAGGCTATTTCCTACAATATTTTACTGTTTCCATTCGCTTCCATGTAATTGGGCGACACCGCCCGTTTGGTTCTGCGAATTCAAATAAAAATGTACCTACCTACCTACCTACACACACACACAGATGAACGCAGGTGCGTGCACAAACATGCATACATACACACGCACAAGAACAATAGTGAGGAAGGTTTTGGTAACCAAGATCATTTTAGTGACTTCGCCTGGTAAGGAGTGCAAGAGCGAAGGAGAAACGCACAGCATGCAGTGTTACATGTATCACGTGATTATACATGTATCACGTGATTATACATGTACCGGCAATACACATGTCCCCAATTCATTTCGCCAGAAACTTAACAATTTCATTCATCTTGGGCACCCTGTAAGAAGACCTTAGTATAGGGTCTGTTGGGAATGCGCAAGTAAAAGAATAAAATACAATACAATAGAGAAGTTCCGGGGTACGATTTTCCGTGTCAAAATCCGTGTGGGCGCTACGGATTTTTTCCAGGCGTGCTCCATACGATTTTTCGGCACGGAGAATCCGTGTGGACTGGCTTTCACACGAACCATGTTTCGTATGGAGATTTTGCGTCATCGGGTGCAGAAAGATTTTTCGCGTACAAATTTGGTACGAGAAACATGGATTTTACGCGGGAAGTTTTGATTTCGGTACTAATTTTCAAAATAAAAAGGCATAGCGCGGGAATGTGACGTGTTTGCGATCGTAACCTAGGCAATGACGGCAAACACATAAGTTCCGTACTCCGGAACATTTCACTGCTCGAAAACGACGTATAAAAAATCCGTAGCGCCTCTACGGATTTTGGCACGAAAAATCGTACTCCGGAACCTCCCTAATACAAAAAAATTGTCGCAGATTGGTGAAGACTTGCCTCCGAATATATTTATGTACGTTTCGAGTAATTAATGGGGATGATGTGGAATGGTGTTATGCATGACTTCTGCAACGACGCTGAGACATCGCATACATGTACAGCACGCATACACGACTGGAATGCAGTGCGTCAACCTACCACCTGTCTGGCTCACCAGCTGTTTTATATTTTTATATTTTCATATATTTTTTTAAAAGAACACAAACCTACACATCATGTTGCTGAAGTTCGATCATCGATCAAGCAGCTCCCAGGATTCCCATAGAACGGTGATAACGACTGGTTTCGTGTCTGGAATTGTAACTCCCAATCACATACATTTTGATGGGGGAAAGGCAATGGATATGGTATGGGACGTCACTACCGTACATCTCAGAATATAAGTCGCACTCAAAAGTCACATTTCGTGTTAGGTTCAACTAGAGACCGAGTCTTTCGCATCCGTAGGGACGCCGCCACCTTCTGTGGACCAAGACAAAAGAGTGGTAATATATCCACTAAAACTTGCCCAAAGAGTGCCCAGTACGACCGAAGTGCCCGTAACTTCGGGGTCCGCATAACCGAGGTACGAGTATACCTTGTACTTGTAAATGTACATGTACTGTTGTGGACATGGAAATCCGGTCGCACGTCTAGCGGCCCCAGGGCGCTGGCCATGCAGCCGTGGCCAAGCGACACGTACATTTATGCATTTATGCACAGCAGCCCGCTGGCCGCATCGGATCAACATGATTTTGCACTGCACGCAGCGATCTGTACGCGCTGAGGGCGCCGGCTCCGGTCAATCGACTGGATTTCCATGTCCGCTACAGTACATGTATACATGCATTGATAATAACAATAATAATAATACTAATACAGGTCGCATGTCTCCCAAATAATGGGTTCCACGCATCTGTGAACTGTTTCATCCTGAAATAGATTGCAGCAGGAAGAATAGCATACGAAAAAACATATACATGTTCTAGCACATGACTAGTACATGCCATTTTTTTACGCCGATGTACATTAATTTTATACATGCATTACTTTACATGCGTTACTTGTGTTTATACCATACAACAGCCTGCAACTTTGCATGGCTGATGAATTGCCCGCCGCTATATTTAGCCTAGTCTCACCCACACAGTGATTGAAGTGGACTATCCTGAACAATGAATCCCTATTTTTCTTTTTCTTTGTAGCGTACACACATGCACGCGAACACAATACTCACGTACTTCAATTACCACACGTATCTACACACACATGGACTCATGCACCGAGAATAAAAGAAAAGCAGTAAGAAGATGATGAAAACCAATGTGGGTACTCGCCCTCTTCTTTTATGATTGGCGCACTATTAATTTAAAATAGTGTGTCAATTTGTGAACCAGGAGAGAAAACCATTAACAGAATCAAACAGAACGGCTTCATGCTGTGCATTAGATTCCTCGATTCTCCACTGAAGAACTACCGGTACTGCAATTCCAGAGTAGCAGCCCCAACCAGTTTTTTTTGGCACGAAATACAGGTGCAGTAGGTAGGTAGGTAGGTAGGTGCATTTTTATTTGAATTCGCAAAACCAAACGGGCGGTGTCATAGACATCTACCTTGTCTATCACTGTTGATTTGACCATCGTCACAGAATAAGCCGCAACCTCATTTTTAGGGTGAATTAGTGGTTTTTTAAACAGTGCAGATTATACTCCGGAAAACATGGTGCTTACAACAAGACGAGGAGAAAGGAAGTGTTGTGAATCTGACCTGTTGACTCTGACCTGGTCTCTGATGATCGCCAACGTGTGCGTGAAACTCAGAGTAAAACACATTCTTTCTCCTTTCCCTTTTTTTCTTTGACAGACTATCGAAATTTGCTGGAGAGTTTGAGTAACACTGTTCAATGTCGTCACCGTTGTGCAGGGGGTTGCTCAGTCTGAATGAATGCTTCAAAGAAATTCGTGATTATTTCGCCTACGTTAGCAGACACAAACACAGTATGTCTTTGTCCACAATCCGCAGACAGGTTTGACACCCGCAATGTTCGTGTATGTTTTTGGGCATTATACTCAGTGGGGGGTCAGTCCACAGCGTCTTGCTGGGAAGGCACCAAACTGTCCCCGAGGCTTCCTGTGTGTTTGGAGCTGGCAGTTGCGAAATACACTGGACAGGGCCAATACTATGAACAGGTTCTTCCTCACAACATTCTGTGAAATTGCACGAGACATCGAATAAGATGAGCGTAAAAAAATGTGATCGTATGCTGGTTGTCAATGTGCATGACAACTTGCGCAATTTGCCAGCTTGCGCAAACCTATTCACATAGTGCTCACTGGATTAAGTTATTTTAAAAGCAGATCAGTGTCAACTGTGCGTGGTGTTGCTGACATCATTCCGGAATCTTAGATATGAATCTTTTTCCGTCGGATTTGGACATTGCCCGGTATAGATCTTGTTATTTCCCCCAACAAACCCTGACTGGTATAATATACTTACGGGATGCATTCAACCAGTACACTGAATCAGCATATTGCTTGTTCGGCTGCATCTTCTATTGCCTAAAAGCCATTTTGAAATAGAGATTTCTAAATCTCTAAATCTGTATCGGCTCCCCGGCAGCCCCTGATTGTCCATATGATGACAGATATCTTTTCTTTAGTGTGTCTGTCGCCTTCGCCGGAACACAAACCATTCATTTCACTGAATTGAATGCAAGTTTATTATGCTGCTGAACTACAAACTCTTTGTCAGTATGTACGTGCTGGACGGTATAAAGCCGCTGAACCTATTAGCAAGCAGTTCAGATATTTTGGAGAGAGAGAAGAGAGAGAGAGAGAGAGAGAGAGAGAGAGAGAGAGAGAGAGAGAGAGAGAGAGAGAGAGAGAGAGAGAGAGAGGGTCCGCGACAGTGTACAATATTGCTTCTTTTGTTCGGATAATCGTCATATTTACTGTTTTCCTAGTGTCGCAGTCATGGCTCTTTCAGCTACTCACGTCTGCAATGTCCTGATCGTGGTTTGTCTGTCTCTCATACTAAGCAGCTGCCAGATTGAAGGTATGTTATAACGCGCTTATAAACGTGTTCTGGGCATAGCGGCGATGGCTTGAATTGAGGGAATTGACTCTGAAAGTATAGTATATTATTTTATTTCAACATCTCAAGCATTGGTGGAAACACCGACCAATGCTAAGAGAGTTGGTGATTGCCAACCACGGCGAGAAATACAAGACCGGGGTTGGAAGCGAAAGAGAGTGGCAAAATCAACAGCAACAACAACTCCATAAAGAAAGAGAATGTGAAATAAAATAGTGAAAAGCAACTGTGTGTAGAAGTATAGTGTATAGGCGTTATTTTTCAACTACTGCAGGTAAAAGTACTCCATGCTTTGCCTTGACAGCCATGTTTAGACTCATACCTGTCAAACACTGTTGGCTGCTGGCAGCTGAAAAGTAAAGTCAACAGTGCCATTCATTATTTTTGCGATGTTGACATTTGAAAGAAACATTATGGATGTCATGCGGTTTCTCTGTTCAATGGCTCTGCTAGGTGCGTATGACAGCTGCATGGTGAAGCGCATGCTGAAGGCTGGGATTCCGTCGAGCAGAGCACCGCAGTACGAGCAGCGGGCCCTGCTCGCCAATATGTCCCTGGCACAGGTCGCTGGCATCCCGGTTAATGTGCTTGCTTACGTGTTGCAGTCTACGCAAGGTGAAGCCAGCGCTATCCAACAATGTGTAGGTAAGCCATGCTTTCCACAGTGCAACGTGGAAAGCAAAGAAGTCTATGTAGACCTGCCGAGTCTCTCTCGCTGAGCCTCCTGTAGCCAAACACCGGCCACTTCCAAACATGTATCTTGCATGCAGATACCCACGGTTAAATCTCCAAACAAAAATACATTGTCATGATTGTCAGCTGAAGTACCTCGTCATACATGCAAGTTCACAACCCGCAGCTCTTCCTGAACATTTCGGTCCTTTCCTTTAATTTTAATCCTTGGCTCTCCTTCCTTCACAGATTATTACGTCATTTTAACCTACATGTAATGCCATCTTCTCTGCTTCGTTCAATTTGTGTACACAGAGGGGAGATCTGGGCCTTGCAGTACCTACTCGCCATGTCAGAACGGCGGTCTATGTGAGCTCTCCCAATCTCAAACAGAGTACATGTGCAAGTGTCCCAGTGACTTCACGGGCGACAGCTGTCAATCAGGTAAGCCTACATGAAGTTTAGCACAAGTTGCTTACCTAATTGTTGCTCTGACTAGCCCGCCTTCTAGCTCTCCTTGACCCCCTGTCACCCCTGATACTCGCTTCACTTCCCTTTCAGATGCTTTTTCTTTCGTAATTTTCAAATTCCTATCCTTTCTTTTCTAAATGCGCCATCCATTCGCCTTTATATCATTGGGTAGGCATATGCGGATAATGCCGACAGAAAAAGTTGCAGAATTCGGTACTTGTTCTGGTAAGGTTCATGCATGTTTGGTATGTGGATAAAGAAATGGAGCAGAATTCGAGGAATTGCCCGCAATAAGGTTTGTATGGTTCTGCCAATTTCACTGCTTTTCGAGCGGAATCTGCCACCTTTTCGAGCATTATCCGCCAATGCCTACCAGGCTGGCCACTTGCTGTGGAGTTAAATCCCTACACCGCCACAAACCGGACTGCAACGACTAGGACTTTTTTCGTGTCGGTAATGTTTTCGTAGACAACAATTATTTATCGGTCAAGTGTCGGTCATCCGGAAGCTGTACGAGCTCCAAAGTTACGGGCAGCTAGTAGTCCCCTCACCATTGCCAAGGAAATGCCTAAGTATTTGGGTCATTTGTCAATGTGATTTTACGGGACGATCCGAAAAGCGTAAAATTGTCGAACATAATCGTTCTGTTATACGATTTTTATTGTAAAAGGATTCCCCAAAGGCTTTTTTCGCCTATCGAGGGGTTTCCAAACTTTCCACAATACCAAATCTGTAAAAGAAGTGATGAACAATAGGTGAGCAAAGAAAGAGAAAAAGACATAGTCTAGGGCAGAGCTCTGCGCTTGAGCATATGATTGTAAGCGTGCAGAACTGGAGAATTTAATGATGGAAAGTGTGCCAGAGATAAGCTTCCAAAGAAAACGATGTGACACTACATATTCAACGGGATTCCACTGCAGTGAAACAAATGTTCGTAGAACTGTTTGTGCAGTTCTTGCTTAAATTCGCCTAAACTGGTCAAGGAGGTGATCTTAGGGGGCAGAAAATTCTAGAGGATGCTGTATTTATGGAAAAGGAGATTTGAACAGCGCTGTCCATGGTTTGTCAATAATAGCTTTTTGGGATGTTGTGCACTGGTTGTGATATGTATACCAAAATTAGATAAGTAGTGGGGATAGACATTAACGTACTTGAAGATAAGGACAAGAGAGATGTGTTGCCTTCTATACTGCATAGACTCTAGAAAACATAGCTATATTAAGATTTTCCTTCGTGTCATGTGTGTCAAACTGAACCGCTTTCTTCCGCAAAAAGGCGCGCATACCTTAGCCTGCAGAACATCCAATGCTGAAAGTTGCTGTGCAGTCATGCGGCAGTGCCAGACCGGAATTGCATTATGCTAACGCAGGCCGAACATACTGTTTGTACAGCAATAATGTTACAGAAGGTGGTAGAGACCGTGCCATGAAGCAATGAGTGGTGAAATAATTCAAAGACCATAAAGTATAAAAAATAAAGGCAACGAGTTAAAGAAATTGAATCTAGCACTTCACGGGGCTTTAGCTCACGTGATAATATTTGAAAGGACACATCTCTTGCCACTCCTGATTATGTACAGGTCAGCCTGCTTCGCGGGCAGAGCTACAGAGTCTGAAGGGGAACGTGACACAGATCGGTCAACGGCTCAATGACCGAACGCAGGTAAGATTGTCGCCGTATGTGCAGGACTTTGATCGCCATCCATTGTGACTTGATGAGTCTCATGCTACAGTATTGAGTAGGACTTTGATCGGAAATCCATTGTGAATGGCTGAGCCGCATAGTGGTCGTAGTCAATTCATTCTTCATACGTTCCCCGTTTTCAACTCCCTCAAGCTTATGGATATCTCACGAAAATGGTAAAAAATGAAGTGAGTGGAAGGTATTATTGGAACCTTGGTTGGTTGCCTCCCACTATTTTGTTGGCAAATACAACTGCGCCTTACTCGGTAAGGGCGGTGGTATTCCAAATCGAGTTCATTTAAAAACATTACTTAGGTGACAGAGAAACTTCTCGTCAATGACCCAGGTGGTGTGGAGAGGGTTTTTTGGTCATTGTGAAGAAAGTGTCTGCTCCGAAAGTCGGAGCTCGCGCTTCCTGCCGACGAGACCACCATCAGACAACAGTATTTTGCAAAAATCTACATGCTGGTTAAAATACGAGTAAAGTTGTGAATTGAAGCAGTGGAGAAGGAATTTTTCTTTAGTGTTGAAAGATTGCATCTTCGTCTAGTGTCAAGTCAGTCGGCAGGACGGCGAGCTCCGTCGTTCAGACCAGACCCAATGAATTTTTCAATTGATAGTCATTGAATCTGGTTGTCCTGTTGACTGTTGTGTTTCCCGCACTGCAAATTACTAGAAGCAAAATTGTGCGAGATGCAGTGCCCGAGTATAGTTGATATGTTATTTTAATCATCTTGACTTCTGGTGTGCACAAACCCACGCTACAGTTTCTCGGCAGTGGCTGCAACCTGCGGACTCTCGGATATAAGTATCAGACAAGACATAGCTATGCAAACACCGAGAAAGACGGGCCGATCGCAACGATGACGTTCAGAAAGAAGTATGCGCACACTGTACTGAAGCTAACCTACTCGACCAACATCCGTACCCTGACTGCGGGAGGGTTGACGCGCTGGTTCTTCAAGATTGGCGGTGAGGAGTGCTATCGACCAACGAAGATTGATATGGTGATGTATCAGGCTGGTGCTGCCAACACCTTCATCCCAGCCGTACTGAATGGTATCTGTGAGTCAACCGCCAATAATAGAGCATCTAACATACCAGCTGGAGACGTCACGATCACTGTCAATACTGGACGCTTGCAGGTACACGAAGCTGCAAATCCAGCCTCGGGTTGGCTGTCCACGGCCACTCTCGAGGTTCAAGAAATGTGCCCGCAGTTTTGAAAAGATGGCGAGGACAGTTCCTGACCACGCCGACGCGATCGCACCGACCACTCGTCTCCGTCAGCATGATGATCCAGGCAACATACAGTGAAGCCTGTCTAAAGCGACCGCTCAAGGCACCTTCAAAGAGTGGTCTTTGTTACCAGGTGGTCTCTTTACCCAGGGCCATTTGACTCGAACTAGCATCCCTTGGTCCTGGTTTCAGTGTTCTTCTAGGACAGGTGGTCGCCTTATCCGAGTGGTCGCCTTATCCGAGTGGTCGCATTGACAGGTTTTACTCTACATTGTACATGCCTTGTGGATGTTTAGTGTAGCTGCTGGACTGCTCGTGATCGTTGCTCTTGCTGTGATATTCTTGCTGTTTACTATTGCCATACATGTAGCTTGTGGTTCTTGGTTTCTTTCTCTTTTTCCTCTTTTTCTTTCTGGAACGCTGAATATGGTGGCATCAGCGAAGTCATGTTACCATTCTCCCGAGGTTTCCGCGATGATGTGTCTTCCCATTGTTGCATGGCAACGGATTCCTGCCTATACATGAACATGTAGCAGCATCCCCCCCCCCCCACTCCGTGTGATAGTCTTTATTCGCATACATGTACACTGCCAGATATCCGCGACTCTCACCACTACACATATGTACATGTATGTGTTTTTAGTCCATGCATTTTTTTTGCTGCTCTGGGTGATCCTATTGTTTGTTTCGCTTTACGTCCAAGATTTCACACTTCCGCAGTATTTTACGCAATCCCTATACATGTGTTAACTTGGGGAAATCCCACTTTGCTATTCAGAGATGACAGCAAAAATCTGTCTATTTCTACTGCACACAAGGCATGGTTGCAGTGCTGTGTTTAGGAATGGTACTATGGTGTTGTTGCTTGACACATTCCACAAATACAACGTTAAACTATTTTGACAATTACATGAGCATCTAGGTCGATCTACATCTATAGGTACAGCTGTAATGTTTTGTGATGGCTTGCGCTACTCGCTTGCTTGTGTGAAAAGACGAAAACCCCTGCTGATCCCAGCCAAAATGTCTACGCTCAGGTGAGCTTCCGTATGCCATTAATTATGGCAAATGCCTGTGGAGACCTTATTCATACTTGAAAAGTGTCAGAGTTGCAATGCTAGCGCAGACAGGCTGGACATTCGCACAGACGTGATACAGGTATGGTCGTGACTTGAATCAATGACATTGGCCCATTGTGTTGAGCAAACGAAGGTGGCCAAACAATGAACCTAAAACTCGCAAGCAGAGTGCCGCTCATGAGCGCCCACTTGAGATTACTTCAAGTATAATTAGTACATTCAAAAATATCGTCCCGCTGGATGCGTGGCCACAAAAAAGTAATTTTAAGCCATGCTGACACAACTATCCATGCGGAGCAGAATACCTACATAGTCCTTATTCTTCACGTCCCTCTTCGTGAATAATTGTTGCAGTCCGTGTAGGAATATGCAGAGATCGGGTTGAACCATTGAATTCGTTGCCTGCACATTTGCATGAGACATCAAGTGAAACAATGCAGTGTGCTGTATCTGCTCTGGATCATACCGTATCATTGTATGTTCGACTTGATGATTGCTCGTCATGCACATACATGTAATTGCGGTAGCATTTGCGCTGACCTGCGCATGCTGTGCGCCAGCAATTGGCTACTGCAAGGCGTAGTTATAATTATAGCGGGTAGTGATTTTTCTACTCCCTGGTTTTCAGCAGTGGTGTACGCCGTGGTAATGCTAAAAGACATGGCCTGGTACAGTGGGGAACTACTACTGGTGGCTAATGTCGACAGTGATGATGGCCGGTGTGGCGGTGATGATGCGGAACCATTTTGGCCGCTGTTCCCAGGAAGATGTATGCATGGCGGGCATAGAGCGGCATTGTACTCGTGCATGGACATGTATGGCCGTGATCTAAACTTGACACAGTCCAAGCGGTTTGCTGATCTGCAAACTACTGACTACTGAGTCTGTGGGCCTTTTCTCTTCTGCGGGTAATATGGCTATGGCGCAGACACACCTGCGCTGTGCGTGTGAGGTTTTGGGAGCGTCCGTGTGCAGGCGTCTGTGAGTGTGTCCGTGTTTGTGTGCGTGCGTGTGTGCATTTCAAGGTCTGTGCGCGCGTGCGTGTGTGTGTGTGTGTGTGTAGATGTCGTCAGCTTCTTTTCGAGCGCTACGTTCAACTCATCGCCATACTGTGCGAGGAGAGCTGCGAACGGATGACACTCTACCATTAGTACACACTTTGAGCTAAAAAGTCAAGAATTTTTCCGGTGTACGACCTTCTCACTTAGAGGTGCTTGGGCATTGCATTCCCCGTGCATATTTGGAAACTGACTGTCCAGAGATAGATACCGAGTACTGTACATGCATGGCTCTGCTAAGGTGCAAACGTGATGAAGATGTGTTACCTCATTGCGCTCTGCCCTTGACGTAATCTGGAGGTACTAGAAACTTTGTTCTCGAAGGAGAAGGCTAACCAAGCTAGTTATTCGAGGCGAAAGGTTCAGCGCATACTCTTGCACAGGATCCGTGTCGTGTCATACGCACACAGTTCCATTGGATCTACAGAATCGGGGCATTAGGAGAACTCTGGTGAAGTGCTCTCTGCACTAGGCATAGACACACAGAAACTGGATGAGGTGACTGAGAGAAGGCAAGTCGTACGCTTTCTGCCGGGAAGAGATCACCCAGGATTTGACAAGTTGGCACGGTATGGCTTAGGACAATCTTGTGGAATACAACCTCTGGCCTGACTCCGTCTCCAGGAGACTGGCTCAGCGGGACGAAGATCTCAGCAGATTGTAAAGCCTATGATAATCGCGACGATGGTGCAACACCAGTGTCGCTTCAGAGGTAGCGCGCAGTGCCATGAGCGCCATCACAGCTTTCTCCACCTGTGGTACCTTGCCTTATCTCTGCTAGGCGTCAGCAGTTGGGCCGATGCGTTCAACTTTTCAATAGACGGCGCTGCACTGAATACCATCACAGGTAAGTGGTGAACACTGAACACTCATACATCCGGTGAAAACCACTGACCCGGCAACTTGTACACTATGTGTATCCGCGTGTGTTTTAGTTAAATTCTTTTGCAATTTATCTCCACACACACAATTCATAGTGAGCCCATCAGATCAATAAGTCGAATTGGAAAATGATCGGAATTTTCTACCGAACCCATCGATGGTTAATTTAAAAGAGCTGGATGGCGCTTATCGTTGCCGAAACGTCATCCATGTGCGTCTCCAGCACCCTTTGCAGCCTGCAAAGGAGGCCATTGCAAACGACATCAGTAGTTAGCAGAATCCTGGTTCCTCCACTTCAAATTTGCCCAACTCAGACAACAAGCTAAAACTGCAATTTCATTATCGACGCTCAGTACTGATACCTTCCCAATTTGTAACTGCTCTCGCACATGTCCATTTCAGAGGTACATGTAGATCTGTGCAGAAACAATGTAGGGAAAATTCATCTTCTCCTAAAGCTGGGTTTCTTCTCGAAAGTGGAGTTGACGTTGGTATTACTGACTCGCGACTGCCATCCACAAGCACACCAGAAGTCCATCTTCGCACCATCGCCACAGCAAGCCTGCAAGAAGGCACCACTTCCTTCTCAAGCCTGAAATATGCGTGTCGTGGAGTAGCCTGTCGTCGACCTCATATCTAGTCACTGCTACAGACCCGGTACTACCGTATTAACGGATGGCCAACTTCCCCAATAGTCTGCACACAGAAGAAACCATCTCTGAGAGTTACTTGCGCCCAGCAGATATGAATGGTAGACGGGGACGGAGACTCCAAAATCACCTGGGACTCACTATAACATAAAGAAACAGAAACCTCTACCAAACAGCGCGAGACGTGCGATCAGAAAGCCACCACAACGAGCCTTGACTTCCACTTTTCTACGACTGTACACAAAATCCTGGTGAAAATAGCCACGCAGTCCAAGCCTCTCGGCTGGTATCAAGGATATTTTCAGGGCACTGGCGTGTTTTGACCGGGGTCGAGGCAATGTTCCTCGTAGGCCCGTGGCAATTTCCTCCGTGCGGAGAACTAGCTACTAGAAAGTGTTTCTGCCTCGGCTTGTTGTGGTCGCCGTGTGATCAACGAGTTTACGAATACAATGGGTCCTCTGAATCACTGTTAGATGACTTGGTAGGCAACCGATGGTCTTCTCATCCTGAAATATATACTGAGCTACGAGGCATGTGACCGTGGATATGTGCCAGTGACCTCCAGTGGGAGTACTTGATTGGTACACAAAGGGAATACGTTTTGGCTTCAGAACAATAATTCCCCGCAGGATAGCTGGAGGCTTGTCAATTTATACGGTACAATGTACTTAAGGAATCGGCTAACAGCGGGAACCCTAGGTTTTGTGTGCACTTGGTGTTTTGACACACATAACGCTAGTTGTACAATGCCGTGTGTCAAGCTGTGGTTGACCAAACACTGGACCACAATCGAACAGAAAAATATCCAAGACATGCCCAACTCGCTGGAGCACACACAATGGCCACCAAGATGAAATCCTGAGAAACCTGTAACTTTCTAATAATTACTGTTCGACAGGTAATGTGTGTATCTTCGTGCATACGGGGCAAGGGTTCCAACGCATCAGAAAAACAGGACCGGAGACATCAGTGTTCAATTTTGGACCGGCCATGCCATACATTTTCCTTTATACAGTCATTGTGCATGCACAAACGAAAATCCATTTGAACAAAAATAAAGTCCACTGGATTTTCGTTTGAACCGAAGCTCTACACGTTGTGTGTAGAGCACTCTGACCAGTGTTGTGTGTGTGTGTGTGTGTGTGCGTGCGTGTGTGTGTGTGTGTGCGTGTGTGTGCGTGTGTGTGCGTGTGTGTGTTATAAATCGAAATAGTTTACTGATTTTGAGGATGATTATGTGCAATTCGTGTTGCCCGTACATGAGGCTTTATCACTCTGACCTGTAGTCAAGGTTCCCATTTGTGTACAGTCGTGTACTGTGTGTAACGGATATGGAACTGCACTTCCATATATGGAACTGCACTTCGTGTACAGTGTGCTAGTAGTTAGTGCCAGTGACTGGGTGTGAGGTGTACCTTCCAACTAAAGTGGTCCCTCTTTAATCCAGCACTGTATAAGCAAGCAACCTCGATAAACTAGCACAATTGTCAGCAGGCAAAATGTCCTCTTCATGTACATTGCAGCAATAAATCAGATTTGTTAATCCAGCACCCTCCCTAATCCAGCATAATATCCGTGGCACAAAATTAATGGTGTCGGATCATAGAGGAGCCACTGTATGTGGGTGTGTGATTGTGTGACATTTTGATATCAACATACTGTCAACCCTCAGGAGACCCAAGTGAGGCTGCGCAACTGACTTCTATTTAAGTGTAGACAACGAATGTGTGAGACAATCATCGTTCAGATTTCTCAGTGAATGGAGACGTTTCCTATGCCATGCCTTAAAATTGAGGTCACCAGTGTTGATGAGGCGCTTCTTTCGTGCACGGCGTTCCAGTGCATGGCCTTCTCCTGTCCACTTGCTACCGATCGCCTTCTGTCTCAACAAAAAAACTGAGTCAAATCAGCTAGACCAGCTAGAAATTCTTTTGATGGATGAATAAAGAAAGTTGTAAAAGTACCACATAATCATAATCATATTCAATGTGTTATGACAGCTGAGCTGTGCTGAGGAGCTCTAACAGAGCGAAACAGTTGCTGTCCACAGATTTGACAGAATGATGCGTAACTGCGTTAGATCATTACTTAATTCGCCTATTTTAGGAGAATCAAACGCAGCGGAAACGGTGCCTATACCAGCCTAGGCACAGTGCAATAGCGCAGACAATTGTAGGGTGGGTGGCATGTTGCATTGTCCTAGAGACCAATGCAAACCAATCTCAAGCTTTAAAAAAGTATTCTAGCCATAAGACCGTAATGATCTCTGATGTTCGCGTGGACATCAATCATTGCGCAATGGAATGAACGACACGTGTAATGCCAGGGCTGAACCTGTGGGTAATAGTAAATGAGGCGCATAGTCCATTCTGACCGTAGAGCTAAAAGGATACACTCTGGAAGACCAATACGCGAGTGATGATTAGGGAATGATCGTACTTCAATGTTTCATCAAAGATGGTAATAATTATTGTGATTTTCTAAGGTTTACTGATTAGAGAAATGTGCTAGTTAATACACACGTCACAAGCAATGAGAAAACTCAACAACTAAGAAGAGTAAGACACACAACTGAGAACTAATGATCCAAAATTCAGATACAATTTCAGAATAAACAGGTTGTTCTTTGAACAGCAACGTTATCCCTCACTCTCAGCGCTCATTGTGTTGTAGTATAGTTTGAATATAATTGTTTAGTTCGCTGTATTTCGAGTACCCCGGAGAATGTAACGCAGCAACAAGGTAGCAAATAAGCCTTTTATTGCCCTTGTTGTTCCGTAATTTGAGTATGAATAGAAGGCTCAATGAGTGGCAGGGATGTTCTGTTGCTAATGCCTAGTTCTCACGGTCAGAGCTCTACACTGGTCATTTCACACGGATACTTGCTTACCTCGCCTTTGCCACTGGGTACTGTGGAGCGCTTCGACTCACCATTGCCCAGCTCTCCCTTGAAAAGATCTGTGATCAATGGGTTTGGCATCGGGTAGCGCGAGAGCGGAGCATGTCGGCCTAGCCCGGGATGAGCAAAGTGTTGTTTCTCTGCGCCTACTCTATTCCTGGGCAGAGGAAATCCAAAGTCATCTTCCAAGCGGAGTGGTCTCCCACAGCCAGTATCCGAGCTGGGCTGATACATCTCGTCCGGGCCTTTAGCCATTCCGGATGCTCGCGTCGGCATTAGGTGACGTTGATGGGACTGTCCTCGGCCAGGTATTCTGCGTTCCGAGAGGGCTGTCCGACTGTGGCGTGGTGGTTCGTCGCTGGCCAATCGTCTCAGGAATATCCGGTCCTTATCACCCTCGCCCTGCGCCTTGGTCAACGTTTGCATGGCCCCGTCCACGCTGGGTCTTCGTAAGCGTTGGCGTGTCGCCGCCGATGATTGGCTACTACTAGACTCTGCAATGCTTGGGCCGAGCATTCCCGCGTCGCGCCGCGCCTGGTGGCATTCGAACGCCGCCTGTGCGTGAGCAGCATCACTGAGCAGCCTCACCACGTCATAATCCTGTCTGGCTCGCGCTATGTCGATGGGCAGCCGCAGCTCGGCATTGAATAAATGCACTTTGGCACCGTACTGGAGCAGCAACTCCGAGATCTCGTAACTCCCTCGTAGGGCGGCGGCGTGCAACGGTCGATCTCCATTGTTGTCCGGAGCATTTGGATCTGATCCGTACCTCAGGAGAACTTCAATCATTCGCTTGGAACCTCGGTGTGCAACTTCATGCAGGAGAGTGCGTCCGTAAGCATTGTGCCTCATCGCTCTCATATCAACAGACTTTTTAACTGCCAGGTCCTCGAGAAGCGATGTGAGTGATGTCAGGTCTCCTCGCGAACACGCATCCCTCACCAGGGCTTCATCGGAGAACCGTATGTGCCTTTCCGAAGCACCACCACTGCTTCCACATGACGAGGAGGTCGACGAGGAGGTTGCAGATAGCCTCGAGTGTTCGCTGATGGCTGGCGACGCGCGACAGCTGCTCGATATGCCTTGCTGCAGGGGCGAGATATGTTGCGCGCTCTTGCGAGAGACGCGCGACGCGTCGCTGCAATCCGCAGAGCAACTCTTGCGCAGCCTCTGATGTGGACATGGCATTTTCTTGGGGCTGGCAGAGGCACTAAGAGAGCGAGATGCGGAGGGTCGCTTGCGAGACGCCTTCCCGTGTCGTGCAGGCTGAGATGAAGAGTTGCTGAACAGCCTACAGAGCTTGTTAACCAAGCGAGGCAGGCTGCTTTCTCGTGGTTGCCTGCTCCTGCGCTGAAAGGCGTCAGGACTGCAGGCACCTCTCAGCTCGTCTCTTTGGCTATCGAGTCCCATTGGCTATTTGTACAGGACGAGATGCGCAGCTATCCTGTCCTGGGATGTTCCAGCGATTCAGGTAGCGCTGGAATGCTCCCTCTGCCAGTCGGAGCTCTGGATGAGTAAGAATGAGACGATAGTCAACTTAACCTCACACTGCTGATCATGGAGCTTACGACAGCTAAGCAATCACGCAATCAAGGGAGCTAAGGGGCTGAAGATCTCGTGTGGCTGAGTTCTGCCTTCTCTGCACGAAAGTTGCCGAGTGCAAGGATTTGATATCGTATCACGTATAATAGTGGTTATCACAACCGCTTCGGGTGTAATTGCATCCAATGACACGCAGTCGAAACGCAGCTAAAAGCACCGTTACGCGTCAACCTGGGAGAGAAACTGTTTTTCTAGCATCAGTCTGACCTCTACGCCTCTGGAAATCACTTGCACTGGAAATGGATTCTGTCCAAGAATGTGAAATCCCTGGGGCTAGGGTCCTGGTCTGTCCTGCGACGTGACAAACAAATACCACGGTTTTACTAAACAGAATCAGACTGTCAACTGGCGAGTAATCCGTGTGTGTACCGCTACATGTAGCCAACAAACAGCCTGTCAGAACAACAGAGGTACGGAGGACTCACCATGCTCTATTTGTATTGTTGTATGTTGATGATACGCTATACTTGTAGTGCGAGCTCCGCATTCCTTTTTCCCTACCCACCTTCCGTGTGTTGCCTATTCAGTTGGCTGATCGTTGCCCAGCCTCGGCCCGACTACTCCAGAAGTCATACATCACATCAACGAGGACATGTCCTACCGTGGATGCTTTGTTATGGGATTGCCGTGCGGGTCGCATGCTCAGGCGTGCATCCTGCCCGAGCTGCGCATAGCTTCCTTCTTTAGACTTGTAGTTAGACTGCTGTGGTCGGACCCAGCGGAAGTGCCATGAAGTGGTGGCAGCCATCACCAATGTGGTCAGCTACAATGGTGTGCTTTGTTCCACACTCTTGGCCGTGTTACTCGCCAGTCGGGGTCTCTGCGCTACATCTCACCAGTCAGACGCCTGTCCTTGGCATAGGGCTGAATGTCGCAGCGGATCACTCCTCGTCCTATCCAACACCTTATTGCAGCTGCTAGCAATACTGTAAGCTGTTCGGTGAGTTGATGTTCCGTCGTTAGCTCGGAAATAGTGTTTTGATGGGCTAGCTGAACAGTAACACCATTAGCAGCAGTAGTGCACCTCTAATACACTATCTGCAGACTCGTGCCCTGCGTAACACTAAATTTGGAGGTTGCCAGTCTGTGTGCGTGTGTGTGTGTGTGTGTGTGTGTGTGTGTGTTCACTCTAACCTGAGCTGTCTGTGAACTGCCAGCCACAGAGCCAGTGCATTGGCAGATCACTATACGCATTACATGGTCATCCTGTCTATCAGTGCTGAACCATAGCGCGCTGGAGATCAAAGCAATATGCTTGATCATTCAGTTTGTTCCTGTCTGTGTCAGTCTTCAAAACAAACGTACAAGTTGGGTTCTCTTCTGCCTTTGTGGTATTGTTCCATCCTTGTGGTATTGTTCCATCCTTGTGGTATTGTTCCATCCTTGTGGTATTGTTCCATCCTTGTGGTATTGCTTGTGGTGTTGAGCACTCTAGGCAATCAGGGAATTCTCTCTATTGTAATTTGTTCATGGCAGGCAACCAGGTCACTCTTTTCATCCTCTTATTATAAGTTTAAGTTGCTTATAAATCGTTGTCACGCTACTCAACTAAGTACTGCAGTTTCACAGACGATCCAATAATTTTGTCAGCGTTTCGGTCTTGCATGGTTTAGAATGTGTTGGTGCAATCTCGGTTAAAGCATCGGTAGCCAAGCAGTCCATAGTGCACTCTTCCGAGTGCCCTAGAGCTCAACGTGTAACCAAAATTCGGTGCCCATACGGGGCTATGAGTTCGTTGAGGAAGCGACTCATCGATTGAAGTAATGCACTGTACATGTGGAACTCGTCAAGCAAAACGCCTTTGATGTAATCAAGCGATACTAGCTGAGCGTGACTGGCGTCTTGGAACAGGGTGATTTTGTTTATGTTTACTTTTGCCCGGGGTGAACTCAGTCGGGGGTACTTCGAGAACTCAACTTCAAACAGGGAACAGGTGTCAACGTTAGGCGCTGCGCGCGTTATAGAAACAATGAAAGGTCAACGCCTCGCCATCAATAGAAGACCCTAAACTACATTCTTGTGAACAGGAACTCAGTTTGAGAATCATTATGACGTCACAAGCTGCATCTTCAGTCAGACAGATTGACTCGAATGCGCACGCACGTGCACGCCTGAACAGACATAGGCGGGTAGAAGGAAAAAAGGAGAGAGCAACACATAGATACTGTAATAGGGATAAACAAAGAGAGGTACATGCAGATTTACCCTGCATCCATAAAATGATTAGCTGTAGCACCTCCTGTAAAACCGGAAAGTCTACCGACCAAAAAGGTTAACGTTTTTGTAATTTTGGCATGAAAACGTGCAGAAAGTTTAACGATGGCTACCTGGCCACCCATCTGTATGCACATCTTTACACAGACATCTAGCGATAACTTTTTATTCAAATAACGAAAATAATAGGTCGTTAAAACGTAAGACTTTGTGACTCTTTAGAATTTCCGGTTTTACAGTATAAGTTGATATAACAGTACATTCATATCCCACTTTTATGTGTATGTATAGTGTCATTCGGATCTTCCTAAGTTGTACATTGTACTGTTGAGATACCGAATTCAAATAAATCAATACAAATACCAAAATTTAATGTAGACGATCTTGAGGAAGTTCCTCGCTTCACCTTGGCCTTGGCTGTATGTCACATGCTGCCAACGTCTTGCTTTTCCGTATTGGAACGCGATTAGGCGGTGTAGCGATATAGCGATGTGCTCTTTTGAGTATTGTAAACGTTAGATTCGAATGAGTGCAATAGTACAAGGTTATTTCGAGGTCGAGAGCCACAGAGCATGCCACTGCATGGTGGTTTACTCTGCAGCCTATAACGGCTCAGAATGGAGCAGGGAGCTGCGCTGGACTACCACCATTCTTCTTATTGTCTGATGATTGGTTTTTGCCATGAAACTCCGAGTAACTACGAAAGAGCCCTATTTAACTTCCTTTTGTGTACCTCTTGTGCACCATTCTCCTTTGATGGTCTTAATCTATAAGAATCGTAATCGCAGGTACTAGACACCTTTATATTCATTATAATTTATCTTCACTGTCTGTACCTCGCAATGCCTGATGGCCATCACGCATGCAACATTCTAGTCAATTCCCATAGGTTTGGTGCAAATTTTAATTGGTGATCTTTACTGTGGGAGACGAGACATTTATGGAGAACTTTGTTTTGTCTCAATCGATAGTCGTAGCTTTCCCCTTGAGTTGCAATCTTCTAAAAGAGGCATGGTGCGTACCATGCTGTCATTTTGATTTGTTTTTATTGGTTGGCGCTTAGAGCGGCCCGGGCCAAATCTTCACGAAGACGCAGTATAGGAGGCCATATACGGAAGTAGTGCATTCAAGCTGACGATGCCCCGCGGCCCGGCGCAGGGCGTGAGGGGCGAGGGTGAGAAGGGTCAAATGCTCACACCTAACTACTGAAGCCCTAATTACTGTAAGGCTTTCTCGCACCTTCGCCAGCAGAGGAGGAGTACGCAGTCACGAAATTCAGTGTCTAGAGACATTCAATTGATCAGGGCGACAAGAACTACATGCACATCGTATTGTCTTGAAATCGTTCAAACTGGCCGTGGACAGGCGGAACATCTTCTTTCCCATTCCTGGGGAGCATGTTTTGAATTACGGGTACATGGGCACGGATTGACGCGAGGCTTGTGAGCACATGGCCAAAGGTGGCTGTGAGATGAAAATGAAATGCACGCCAATTCATTTTGTTAGGACGGAAACCTGTTCCGCTTCGAAGTACATGTACAGACATAATCTGTTTGTAAGCCGACCGCGAGTGGAGAGAACGGAAGAATCTTGGTCGGAACCCTGAGTTTCGCGTCATGCATGACTATCCGGCAACATCAGATTCTGTGGTGTAAGCCTGCTTGAAGCAACACCAAGTGAAACGCATTATTCTATGGCAGGGAGGTCTTCGATAATTACTATGAGCATCTCATCGTGGTCGCGACTTCTCAACCCAAATAACAAGGAAATGTGAAATCGTGTCCTGCACAGTTGATCTACAACAGTAATACGATAGAACGCTTCATATAATGTGTTAGGTGAACAGGCCAGTGAGCTCACATTTCGGCCAGAACGACGCGTTTTGTCCTGCTCGAACTATGTCCCCTCTAGTCCAATCCTCAGCACCGACGCTTCTCAAGCACAGAATCCAGCCGCTAGGATGATCTAGGCATACGGTCCCTTTGTTATGCTTAGTGGGTGAATCCACTTGACGGCATTGACTAGGGCCAGGAACTACCGTACGGAACGTGGAGGTCGGCTAGGGAGGAAGACCCACTTCCCTAGAGTTTCCTCGCTGATGATCTAGCGTACTCGCGCTTGGGAGCGTCCACAATCATGAGCATCCTCCATTAAATCGTTGCAGAGAGTCTAGTATTGACACGATACACTCATGATGGCTAACCGGTTGAGTTGTCGTGCTTTGGTAGTACGTGATCCGCACGTATTGTACTAGTTGTCGTTGTTGAGCGTTGCCGAATGCCCCGAGGAACGTATAGTAGTAACATACACCACGTTCGTGAACTAGCCCCTGCACACAGCCCAATCAATACTCGCTTTCCGTCTATCTTTAGTCGTACTGTTGTTTGGTGCGGGCCAGCAGGATGCGTGACGGATCAGCTCGTTTCCGGTGGCCGGCTACAGAGCAATCGCTGAACCGGGGCAAGCCCTCATCACTGCATCAGGGCTGCCAAGCCTCTGCGGGCACAAGCATTCTTAGGTGTTGCCCTGACACTCTCTGGGTGAGACCATCGGTACATGGCCCATGGGCTATGGAGTTGTTGCAGTGTTTGTGGAGAAGGCTACGCACTTGTGCTGTTCGCTACACCATTGCTATAATTCATGGTGATGAGGAGACGTACAGCAGTCTCCGTTCTTGTATTTTTTTGTAGAGAAAAGAGTGTTCATCTCGATTACAATAACCGATGATAATAGTGACTGATATTCTTGTGAGTGAATGGTTTTGCTTGAAACATGATAATTTATCACTGGCGATAGCCGTAGTACACGTGCGCAATAAAATGCGCTTACAAAGGAGATATTCTTAGTGATTCAGAGCGAAACCATCGCATGTTAGTGGGTGGTTTCGGAAATACATTTCAACCTGGTATTGCTATAAGAGTATGAGCGACAAGAAGGTACGGTGACTTACACTGTTATTAAGTATCAGTTCGACTGCACTGGTATCCCTGTTGTTATGCAATCATTGATTCACACTGCTTGTTCTTTCACTGTATCTTGTGTACAGCATCTCTCTTTTTCCTA